AAATCCTTATTAGTAAAGGATATTAATGAGTATACATGGATGATAAATTTTCTTAGTTATTACATATCTGAAAAATGTTGTTATGTTCCCCTAACTCTTGAATGATTGCTTAGGTGAGTATTATAAACTGGCAGAATGTTACTTTTCTTACTCTGTAGCATTGTTTTCTGGAATATTTTATTGCTTATGAGAGTTCTGCTATTGACCTAATTATAAACATATATAAGCAATGTGTCTTTCTTTATGTTAGCATTTAATATTTATTTTATTTAATCCTGATGTTCTATAGTTTCTCTTTTGTCCTCAAGTTCTGAGGGAACTCTCAAACACTCACTGTTGTACTTGTCTACTTTCTAGGTAGCTACTCTCTTTCAAAATTCTGTATTTACCCTATGGTATATCCTTACTCATTTTCTGATACCTCATTGTACTTCCTCTAATCCACTGCTACCACTTCTACACTCCCCCTCTCCCTATTATTTTCATTTATTGCAATCCATAATCCTATGGTTCAGCTCAAATTTTATATCCACTAGAAACTCTTCTCTAATCATATCAGTTAGAATGAATCTCTGCCTCCCAAACATCTTTAGCATGTTTTATTGACCCAGTGCATTTGACATGTTTAGTCCACATAGCTTTCTCTTATAAACACAGAAGAGCAGAGTAGAAAAAGCATGGGTTTTGGAAATAGACAAAGCAAAGTTCAGACCTCAAGCTCCCTACTTACTAACTATATAGTGAGTGATTTGGGGGAACTTAATTATGTCTCACTGAGCTCTATTTTCTTAACTTAAAAAATGAAAATAATATCTACTTTGAAGAATAAGCCTGAGCTACCAAATCTTCCCAATTCTGATACAAATCAATTCACAATAACACAGATAACCCAGAGGTCTTATTCTTGCCCTATGCAGAACTCTGAGTTCTCCCTAGAAAGCAACCCAAGATATTATCAGAAGACCTTAAGAGGATATCTCACATGTGCTTCAGAACCAGTCTGTCAGCTATAAACCCCATGTAGCTTCTGACATGCTTCACCTCTTGGTCTCTAATTCCCACAAATAACTTCTCTGATGAAGAAAATACTTGAAGGAGGTTAATCATCACTACTGTGGGTATGATACCCTTTCATTCATTTATTTACTTAGCAAATATTTATTGAGCATATACTATGCAATACATACTATACTAGACTCTAGGAATACATCAGTGGAAGAAATAAACAAAAATTTCTGCTCTTATGTACTGGTTAGAGGAGAGAAATAATTAAAATAATAAATAGGGACATGATTTTTGTACTCATGATTGGATTAAATGAGTACATTTATCCAATAAACATTCTTAATTGGCAATCAAAATTTCAAGCACTGATTTGATGAACAATCAAATATAATTCCACTACCACAGAGCATATAGCAAAATAGGAAAGATGTACATTAAATAAATAATCTTTCAAGTCAATATATAATAACAAATTGTGATACGTGTTATGAAGAAAAATAATATAGAGTTTTATGAGATGTAATAATGGTAAGTACTCTGGTTAGGGCCTTTTTATAGTTAGTTATTTAAAAATAGAGCTGAAGGATAAGGAGAAAGTCCAACAGAGAAGAGAGACTTCCAGGTAGAAAGAAGAGCATGTGCCAATGTCATGTGCCAATGTCTTTGTAGGCCCTAATGATCTCTGATACTTAGGAGTGCCAGAGTAAGGTGTGAATCCCTTCTGAAGTGGACACAATGACCACTTATCACCTTTGTTCCTCATTTTGTTCTTTGAACAACATAAAGTAGTATTCTTTGTTCCCCATTTTCTACAAAATCCTACCCAACTGCTTTTTCTGTAAGCTAATATGTAAACACACACACACACACACACACACACATATCACCACAAGAACAGATAGCAATTTGCTGGCACAGCAACCCCAAATACTTCCAAAGGAAAGACATTTCTCTAAAGAAACAGTCTTCTGAGATGTATGTGTACCTACAACATGAGTAGCTTTTCATATTTTATACAGAGTAATTTCTCTTAATATAGTCATAATCTCTCAAATATTTTTCAGGTCAGAACTGGATCTTTGCTCTACTTTGGCCTAACCAAAAGGCTTATTTGAGTGATTTCCAAGAACAAAAGAATGATATTCTCTAAAGGTGGAATTCAAATCTGTACCTTTTCCAAAACAGAAAACAACTAAAAGCTGTAAAAGGACAGATTTTCTTGTTTCTATTTCTACCCATCCTCCTCTGCCCATTAAGGCTTCAAAGTCCTTTGCACCACCAGTCTAGCAATCTTCTCAGCAGTCTCCCACAAGAAGGAAGTATCAAATTTAAATAATGAGTTTCTTCGGAGAATATGATTAGGTATAGAGTTTATTTGAGCACAAAATTTGAGGATAGCCACCTGGGAGACACCAACTCCAAATGAATGGGGTCAGAGTTTCAAAGTGAAGAAGTTAAGTTTTCAGTTGTATAGGCGGAGATAGAGAAACTTGAAGCAGGATTAAAACACTTTCCATTGGAAACCAGTGCATTAAAGTGATTTGATTGGTTACAGAATACTACTTTCCAAGGAAGATTACTTTATTACTATGTGAGGAGAGGTAGTGATCTGAGAGAGTTCTGTCTCTGGTGCAACTTGGTCCTAATTACTTATAAGACAAAAAAAGGAAAAAAATAAAGGAAGAAGTTTGAATCTGTATGCCATATGATTGGTGCTGCATATAACACATTCTTCTCAAGGGTCAGAATAATTTGAATTTCCAACAGCTTTAAGTTTGATTTATTTTAAGTTTGAATTTTTTAATTTCACATTTCTCTCTTTTCATCAAGATCTTTCAAAGGAAGCATCATAGATGAACTCGAATGGTTCTGGCTCCTTTTATGTTTAGGAGCTTAGTACCATGTTACTAGGAAGATTCATTCTTAGAGTGTCATCTCATCATGGGGGAAATTTGTCAGGACATAAAGCTGATTGGGTAGAGGCCAAATTTAAAACAACATGAAGAAAATGATTTTGTGACCTGAGTTAGTCTACATGGCTGCAACTTCAATTCATGTAATTCTTTGAGTGACCATTACTTCAGTTTTTTTTTTTGTTTTTTCAGTTGGGCATTGACTCCATTGCAAACAAATGCTGTAGCAGCAATGAAGGTAAAAAGAGTACAAAATAAAACACATGATTGTAAGTCCTAGAATAAGTAACAGCTTTTGCTACCAAGTTTCCCAAGATCCAAACTACTTGCTTAGCCAGTCATTTAGAGGGGGTGTTAGATCTGTCTCTACATGCCAAATGACATCTTCAATACCCAATTGTGGTAGAAACATGAAAGCTAAATGATAATACCAGTGGTATGCAGAACAAACTGAATGAGATTGTAAATGAGGACAGTATGTGAGTTTTGAAAGGGTAGGAACTATTTGACCCTGTGGCCAGGCATAAGCCAAAGAATGCTGTCCTAACCATCCTAGTGGTAACCATGGCCATAGATTGGTGCTACATAGCCAAGAGGTTTCATTCAAAGATAGCCAATAAATACCCTGTCATTGTGCCCATTCTGGCATGCCAATGAGTACTTTGTGATATAATGGTTGGATACACTGTCTGTTCCTTGTGTATCCAGCCCATAATCTCTAGAGCTATTGGGCCATGTATCATCAGTGTGATTCTTTTGTTCCCATCATAAAGGGCCAAGCTGACTAAGCAGTCCAAAAGAGGGGGTAAGACAGATAAAACCATTCTAAATTTGTGTTATTTTCTCCCGAAATTGAGTTGTCTTATCTCTCAGTTGGGGCAGCACCAGCATTAAAGCTAACAAATTGTTTCTTTCAACAAAAAGCCCTTCCCATGCCCTTTGCTTTGTAAAGTATTATTAATAGGTCAGTGATGCACATCATCCTTAATTATGCTAGTGTTAAGCACCAGTGACTGTTCTTGGGAAATAAATGCATTTCTGATATTCTATCTAATCTTGTTCTTGGAAAGGAGATACCTACCATTGTAGACCCTAACTATGGGAAAGGGGCATGAGGCCACTTACCCAACAAGTGTTTTGTTTTTGTAATCTATTAGCATAGTCCTGAGCCTACTATAAGAAGAAGTTTGCTTCATGGGCAACAGGTGGAGATAGTAGTGAGAACACATAAGAACTAGGGACAAAAAGAAATAAATTTAGTGGAAACTTGAAAAGGAAGACCTTTCCCATTTATTAACAACTATTTTTTTCCAGCATATTATGGGGGTACAAATGTTAAGGTTACATATATTGCCCTTGTCCCCCCTCCTCCCTCAAGTCAGAGCTTCAAGCATGTCCATCCCCCAGATGGTGTGCATTACACTCATTATATATGTATATACCCATGCCTTTCTCCCCCCTCTCACCTGCCTGACACCTGATAAATGTCATTCCTATATGTCCACTTAAGTGTTGATCAGTGAAACCAATTTGCTGGTGAGTACATGTGGTGCTTATTTTTCCATTCTTGGGATACTTCACTTAGTAGAATATGCCCCAGCTCTATCCAGGAACCTACAAGAGGTATTACTGTTGTTTCTTATAGCTGAATAATACTCCATGGTATACATATACCACATTTTATTAATCCACTCATGTATTGATGGGCGCTTTGGTTGTTTCCACATCTTTGCAATTGTGAATTGTGCTGCTATAAACATTCAAGTGCAGGTGTCTTTTTTATAGAGTGTCTTTTGTTCTTTAGGGTAGATGCCCAGTAATGGGATTTCTGCGTCAAATGGTAGATCCACCTGTATCACTTTAAGGTATCTCCATATTGCTTTCCACAGAGGTTGAACTAGTTTGCAGTCCCAGTAGTAATGTAGGAGTGTTTCTATCTCTCCACATCCACATCAACATTTATTGTTTTCGGACTTGTTAATAAAGGACATTCTCACTGGAGATAAGTGATATCTCATTGTGGTTTTGATTTGTATTTCCCTGATGATTAGAGATGTTGAGCATTTTGTCATGTATTTGTTGGCCATTACCCTCAGATGTCATTTTATTCTCATTATTGTTGATTCTGGAGGATTTCAATTTTAGATCACCAGTTTGAGATGAAATCCAAATTGGCAAAGTGGTTTTCTGTAAATGGATGATATGTATTGAGGAATTGATTCCTTAAGCTTAGTGGCACAGAGGTTGGTTAGGAGCACCTGATAATATCCCTTTCAGCTTGTTTGGAACAAGTCCTTTAAAATATGTTTTCGATAGACACAATCTCCTGGTTGAAGTCCATGGTCCTTGAGCTTTTCCTCTCCTGGGAGCTCACAGTGGAAAGAGTCTTTTACTAACTGACAGTTTTTAGTTAATTGCTTTATAAGGCTGGTGCAATAATACAACATATCCTCTTTTAATATCATAGATTCACAATTTCTTGGAGACAATTTCATAAGTCTGGCTATTATCATTTCAAATGGAGACAGTGTTTACCAAAAGGAGTCAATCTTAGGTTAAGGAAAATTAATGAGAGAGCTTTTGGCTAAGGAGTTTTTAAAAACCCTGTTAATTTTGCCAATTAGGTTTTGATTATTTCATATGTGCATCCCACTAACCCAATGACTAGGAATGATGGTGACAATGTAAATGTTGGAGAATAGGCCAGGTATTGCATACTGACTAGATTATTTGTGCAGTGAAATAAGTACCTCTATTGTTTTGAAATTCTTGAGGAACTCCCTAAGTCAGAATAATTTTCTCTAAGAGAAGTTTATTTACCATTAAGGCTGTGCCTCTTCTGCATGGAAATGGTTCTTTCTACCTAATGAGAAAACATGAATCATCACTAGAATATACTTGTATTCTTGTGATGATAGTAGCTGAATAAAATCTAGTTGCCATGCCTCAAAAGGGACTCTGGTAAAGGAAAATGATCTTGAGAACTATGTATAGGTTTATGTATGGGTTTAAACATAATCCCTGAATTATGTTTTGGGCAGATATGGCAGCAACTATATACCCTATGAGTGACAGTTGGAGAAGGTTTCTAATAATATTGTTTTCTCCAAGCAATCATCTTATTGGGGTTCAAAGAGTTAGGTCTTGTATATAAATTAAGATGACTATAATTTAGTTAGAAGTATTGATAGACTCTTTGGTCTGTAGCCCAGTCTCAGAAGGATAGATTCTCCCTTTTGTTTCCCAGTTTTTTTCTTTTGTTTTTGCAGTTTTGGACTGAACTAATTTTATATCAAAATCAAATGTTTGTATCCCCATAATATCCTGAAATAATAAAAAATATCAAGTCTTTCTTTAAAGCTAAAATAGGTTGCTTTTCTTCTTCATATACATTTAGAGTGGCCCTTTTCGCTGTACTGTGAATTGATTTACCTTGCTTTCTGGAGTGTCTGATTGTGAATGGCCTGAAATTTTGATAATGGTTGATGATTTTGGCAATAGTATGGCTTCCAATAATTCTGAAACAAGGTGTCAACTTTTTTATGGACTGACCAGAAAAGGTCCAAAACTCTTCTTTGTTTCCATAGTATTCCAAAGTCGTGAAGTACTCTGAAAGCATAACTGCTTTCAGAATAACTATTTACAGTTATTTCTTTTGCCCATTGAGAGGATGTAATTGGTACTATTAACTGTGTTTGTTCAGCCAAGGTCTCACCTGGAAGATAAGCACTTTCAATTTGCTCTGTCGAAGATACTGTAGCATAACCTGCACAGTAAATTCCAGATTCATCCTTTAAGTAAGATCCATCTGTAAACCAAAAAACATCAGTGTTAGTAGGGGGTGGGGTGTTTCTTGCAGGTCCATCCTAGGAGAGAACAGCTGGTCAGTTAAGATTATGCAATCATGTAGTGTTTTATCTGAAGGCAAGGGCAGAAGAGTGGCAGATTTTTTTCACCACTGAATACTATAATATGGGGAGGAGAAAGAAGAAAAACTTGATAAGAAACCGGTCTACCTACTGAATATTGTTGAGTGTGGTGTGAGTTTAGAAGTACTTCTACAGAATGTGAAAGGAAGATAGTGATGGGAGATTCCACCACTATTTACCTGGTTGCTCTTATTAATAGGGCAGTAGCAATTTTTGCTTTCATCCAAGGTGGCAATCCTTTGTCCACGGAGTCCAGTTGCTGGCTATAGTATCCTACAGGTCTATTTTGATCTCCATTTTTTGAGTCAGAACACCTAAGGCGTTTCCCTGAGTTTTATGAACAATAAAAATGAAATATTATAATGTGGATGTCCTAAGCACTGGAACATCTATAAGACTCTTTTTAATTTCTTCCAGTGTAATTTTTCTGTCCATTCCAGGGCATCTGGCTTATTTTGTTTTAGAAGAGTATATAAAGGTTTAGTTTTCAAGGAGAACTTTGGAATCACATTTCTGCAGTAACCTCCAAAATACTCCAACCTCCAAAATACTCTAAGTTGTTTCTTAGTTTGGGGCTAAGCAAGGCCAATATTCCTTTTATTTTATCTGGATTGATAAAAAGACCTTCCTGTGATATTAGATGACCTAACTATCTTGCTTGATTTTTATGCAACTGAAGTTTTTCCTTTAAGACCTTGTATCTCTTTGAAACTAATTGTTGTGATAAGTAGATTCCATCCTCTATGGAGGCTTGTTTATCCTCTGAGTAGAGAAGTAAATTGTCTATATACTATATCAAGGAGGATTTTTTTAGAGAAGTAGATGTCAGAAAGGTCAACTTTTCATATTTGTGAAAAATAAGTTGAAGTCTGAGTGTATTCCTGCGACGTGTGTATTGTCTGTCTTCCCAAGTGAAGGTGAAGATAAATTGACCATGTTTATCCACAGTCCACAGAAATTCTAAAGAATGCAGTATATAAACCTGCTATATTGAAGACCTCACCTTCAGTTGAGATAGCTGCCAACAGTATTTGGGGATTCGGTAATACTGGATGTCAAGGAATGCCTATGTTATTAATTGCTCTCAGATCTTGTACAAATCTCCACCTTTTACCATTTGCTTTTCTTATGGAAGTTTTAGGGTAATACATGGGCTTGTATAAGGAATAATCAAGCCTCTTTTTATACAATTCAAAATTATAAATCTTATCCTTTACAAGGTTTCTGATCTTAGAGTGTATCATTTAAAGGTTGGAAGAGGTTTTCATGGATCTTTATGAATTTTAATTGAGGCACCCAAGATAAATTTTCCAATGTTAGTGGAGGTTTTTGACCACAATTGATCAGGTATTATTTTTAATGGCTCTTGTGTAATTCTTTATTATTTAACAATTTAATTTCCTCCATAACAATATTAATTGCAATTTGTGAATTAAAAGGATCCAATTTCAAAAAAAATGTTGAACCTGATAATTCTGTTTTATCTTCTAATTCTAAATACATCGCTCCCTTTTGATAGAAAGCAATGTGGGTCTTGTATAACTCTAAAATGTCTCTCCCTCTCAAATGACTTGAGATTGAGGGAACCAAGAGGAAAACCTGTGTACCCTTTAGGGGACCTAGCTGAATAACTGTAAGTTGAGGTTTATATACTGATATAGGAGTATTAGTTAAACCCACACTTTGTATTGTTTTCTTGGTCCGAGGAATAGGACCTTGTAATGAGGCAAAATAAGGCAAATCACGATAAAGCAGCTTCGGTGTCCTTAAGAGTTTGTGTTTGTTTTCAATTTAAATTAATTTCAACTTCCCCTAATGTATTAGTGAGGAGAAAAGAGAAGGACCCTTTGATTTCCTTGGTGCATCCCTATTCTTTTTCTTAGTCCTGTTGCTGTTCTTTTTATTTTTGTTTTCTGTAATACAATCCCTTTTGAAATCTTCAGGCTTTTTGCAGTAATTGCAAAGTGGGGAACTGTGTCAGTTTTGGAACTTATTAGGCTGTTTAAGGGTTATAAATTTGTCAGACGATAGTTTTAGTTGAAGCTCATGATCTTCTTTATTTTTCCTCTCTGTTTAATTTCCCTTTCCTTTTCTTCCTTGGTTAGGGCACAGGACATTTGACTGGCAAAATCAACTGCATTATGAGTTTAAGAGGTAGGCCAATTGGGACATTGTCTCTTTATTTAATTTCCAATTCTTCATCTAATTCATTTATAAAGTTTGAGTTAAAGAGAGTATCCTTTTGGTGATTAGCATAACTTTATTCTGATAGGCCCAAATATTGTTTAAATGTTTCTTCAAGTTGTTTATAGAATAACATTTCAGGCTCATTAAGATTTTGTCGGCATTGTTGTATTTATTCCAATCAAAAACTCTTATGAAAAACTAAGGGATAGCATCTAGTAAATATTTGGCAATATTGCAGGCCCATTTACAGTATGCTTCAGAAAATTTATGAAAGTTCTCTAAAGGATTCTTCCAGTTCGCTTTTGCTATCCAATCCTTGACTTTACTTTCTGATACTAACATGTGAAACAATTGCTATAAATCAGAGAATCATAACTTTGAATGTGTAATTCAAATTCTCTAGCAAATCCAGTGAAGTCTTGAAGAGGACCCAGGAATTCTTTAAGTATGCCTTTAAGTTCTACTTTTGACCACGGTAGATAAATCAAGGCAAGTTATTCTGTACTGGACATAAGGCATTCCCACAATGAAGCCAGAACAGCAGTAAAGGGAGGAGAAGGAAGGGTGGGTACTCTGGAAAAGGAAGTTCTGACAAAAGAGAAAGAGGAGCTGAGAGAAGGGGAAAAGTTTTGGCAGATTTCTTTGTTTTGTTTTGTTTTCAATTCAGTAGACAATCTTTTCATTCCCTCCTGCAAAGAAATGGCTTTATCAAAACCTCTGTTAGAAGCTTCTACATTTGAAAATAGCTCTCCCAGTTATTTTGTTTAATTTAGAGCCCACTTTTTCTAATTGTGTGTGCAGATAAACTAGTTTAGATATTTCAAAGGTACCCCATATTGGCCATTGTAATTTGGGGTCTCTGCAAGTTATGTAAGACTATTTATCTAGGTAATTTCATGAAGAGGCCCTGTAAGTATTAAACATAAATCCAGCTGATGTTTCTAATGGTAGATCTCTCCATAAGGAGGAAAACTCAATTTTATAAGTATGATTGCCTATAAATTAAATCCTCCTTTTGGATGACCAAAAAGACTTAATGGGAGTGGTTTTTGATCAAGTGTGTTGCTTGTATGGGAATAGCTCCTCAAGGTGTCAACCCTGAGTCAGTTCTTCCCTTTTAGATGTCTTCATGCTCCCAAGAAACTTGGGTGCTTAAGGCACCAGGTGATCAGCTCTTATGTGTGCATACTGGATTAAGAACATTTTCCTGTATGTTCTCCTTAAAGGATTCCCTGTGAGACCATTTCAGATTGCACAATATTCTTGTAAGACCTTAGTCTCCAAAGGTGCCTTTTGGTCAGGAGAGTGTCTCTTATCTTTGGAATTATCTCATCCTCATAGACAGCTTTGTATTATTTGGTCACTCAGAAGACAGTTTTAGATTTGTCAGTTGAACTAAGGTTCAAAATAAAGAAAGCCTATTTTAAAGATTACAAATTCTTTGCTTGAGTTATAAAGATTCACTTCTTCTTTTAAGAGAGACACTTTCTCCCTGACCAAAATTTTGAATGACAGAAAAGTTTGAAAAACTCTAAGGAGAAATTCCAAACAAAACCTTAACCTCAGAGAAAAGTGGAAATCATTTATACAATTAGCATAATCTTCAGAGAATAACAAATGAAACTCCTATCTTGCAATAGCACTTTAATTCCAACCCCATTGAATTAGGAATGCATGTAGCTCAGTGAAGTCTGAATTCTCAATGAAAACTGGGAGGATTCAAACCCAAGAGGGGCCTTACCACAGATCTCTGTTAACTCCAGTGAAGTCCATTGAAAAATTCATTTATGCTGTTACCAGGACTCCTTTTGTCAGAGAAGTAATGAGGATTGCTGGAGGTCCGCTTTGCATCCCTTTGTGGTTGCCCAAATGTCAAAATTAAATAAAGAGATTATAATTAAGTATGAAATTTATTTGAGTGCAAATCTTGAGGGTAGCCACCCAGTAGACACCAGCATCAAACAAATGGGGTTAGCATTCCAAATTGGAGAAGTTAAGATTTCAGTTATGTAGGCAGAGACAGGGAAACTTCACAAGGATTAAAACATTTTCTGTATAAGACCAGTGTATATATGTTACAGTGATTTGATTGGTTACAGATTACTGCATTCTAAGGAAGATTACTTTATTAATCTGTGAGGAAGGGTGATGATCTGAGGAAGTCTTATTCCTGATACTTCTTGGTCTTAAATATTTACAGAAAAAAAGAAGCAGAAGTTCCAGTTGTATGCATGTGACTCATGCTTCATAGACATATTCCTTTCAAAGGTCAAAATAATTTAAAGTTCTAACAGCTTTAAGTTGAATTATTTTAAATTTGAATTGTTTAGTTTCACAGAAGCTTCTCCTAAGTGTATACTACAACTATGGTCCCCAAACCCCGGGCTGTGGACTGGTACCAGTCTGTGGCCTATTAGAAACCAGGCTGCACAGCAAGAGGTTAGTGGCTGATGAGTGAATGAAGCTTCATTTGTATTTACAGCGGTTCCCCATTGCTCGCCATCCTCTGCGCCCCTGACCTAGTCTATGGAAAAATTATCTTTCATTAAACCAGTCCCTGGTTCCAAAAAGGTTGGGGACCACTATACTACAGGGATAGGAGCATCTTGTTCCAGGGACTGCTTCATTCTTTCCAGCCAGAGATACCTCTCATATTAAAAATGAAACTGTACAGCATAGTCCCTGACACAGTAGGCATTTAATAAATGAAAATATATTTCTTTCTCTTACTGACTTATGTTAACGACCCTAACTTTGCTGTTAGATTATGAGTTTCTGAAGGAGAGTGACAGTTTCTTATAATTTTTTGTACTTCCTGGATTTAGATTCAAAAAATTTATTATACATCTTTTATATGCCAGGCTCCATGATAAGAATTTCTCTGCATATTATTTCATCCAGTCCTTATGAAATATGTGAAGTATATTTTGTCACTTTTTGGTGGGTAAACTTCAATATTAGGCTTCAATAATAAAGTAACTGATTCTATGTAATACAGCTTCTAAAGAGGTAGAATCAGGATTCAAATCCAGCATACCTTGTCATTAAAATGATGTTCTTTATAGTGACGTGATACCCATACCCATAGAATCTAACCAAGTGTTGTGATCATATAATGCTTTCATAATATTTGTGAAAGAATAGGCATTGATATATTGCTCAAAATGATAAATACTTATGAGAAATATAGGAAAACCCAACGTGTGTTTCCTATTCTCTCACTTAACAATCAATACACATAGCATTCTAAAATGGCCAACCAGAGACATCAGCTGCCAGAGCATTTCAGTAAGAAGGAGAATTTTTAGATGAAAGAGAAAAAATGAACAGAGATCTGGTGTGGATCTGTGGAAAGGATGCCAGGATCTTCAGGAGACTCCATGGGAAGAGGTTGCAGAGTATAACAGGAAGGAGCAAGGTATTGGCAGAGATCAACCCCCGAGAGTATTGAAGTCCAGTGAGAAGGGTAGGTGGAGTAGATTATTTGTCCTTCCCTCACATCTCTGACAATCAGTGGGTTCTGAGTTACTGGGAAGACTTTCTGCCTACATAAGCCCAGAGGCTGTAGCCACCAGCTGGGAGCTTCTTGTGGTCAGGGCACCAGGCTCCCAGCCCCACTGCCGTACCTCCCATTTCCACAGACCCAAACCGGGACAGCAGGCACCATATTACTTCTCTTCCAGCATGTGCCTTTGTCCTCCCCAGGGGGCTTCAACTCCTAGGTTTCATCTTCCTTATTCCCCTACAGACATTTCTCAACTTTGGCCCAGACTACAGGAGTCACAGGGGTCCAGGGAGTCCTAGCTGTTCTGTATGGCTCTAGTGCCTGAACATTGTGAGATGGAGTGTTGGAGTAAGGGACTGACACAACAACAGTTCTAGCTTTCCTCCATTAAGACTCTTTTTCTACCCTGCCCCTCCCCCACCAATGGCTGCTGGAAGAGATGATTGAGCCACCACACCGAGGCTTCCACAGAGAGTGGGGCTCAGATCTTTCCTCCTGGAGTCCTGAAGCAGACTGAAGGGTGCTTGGGCTGTTACCAAAAATTTGGTACTTGTCCCCGAGGCCACATAAGAAGAATGAGGACAAGTGGTTTGAGGAAAAGGAAAGAGGAGTTTATTAATTTGCCAGCAAATGAGTAGGATGACAGACTCCTGTCTTAAAGTACCAACATCCTGCCTCTGAGCAGAAGCACAGAGCTTTTAAAAGTTCTGATGAATCCCATAGTCCCATTGTCTTTGGCTAAGACAATCTTGTGAACTCCACCTGGATTTATCCCATCTTCAACTAAGACAATCTTGTGACCTCTGCCCTGGCAATTCCACTGAGCCATGTCCTGTGGCACAAGAACAAAGGACACTCTCCTGTTCCTCTTGACCACTAGCCTGAGGCAGAGATGTAGATTTTAACTCTCAAAAAGGGTGAGGAGGTTTTGAAGAGACAAAAAACATTTTTATCCCTTTTCAGGCCATTCTCTCTGTTATAAGACTGTGAGCTCCCTGCCTGCCACCCTTCCCTGGTGCTGCTTACAGGGCAACTCCATCAGAGTAGGGCATTCCCTGAAGCAGAGGGACATCCAACCTGCTAGGGCACCCCATGGGTAACTCAGGACCAGCATGCTTCTCCCTGGCATGATCAGGGATTGAATCTTCAGGGACCCAGAGATAGGCCAGCAGCCTAGATTCCATACCCCAGATCCCAATCACATTGCTTGGGGGCACAGAGGTGAGCTATGTGAATTAGTCTTGACGGGTGAGGGAGCTTGAATGGGCAGATCAGAGGAAAGATTCCAGTGTGCATCCTAGCTGCAATATGCTCACAGGACACCTCTTCCCCCACAGGAGGACCATGCTCTCAGCTCAGGATGGAATTCTGGGCAGGGAACCTCCCAGCCCCAATCACAGTTGTGGGAGAGTGCAGCTTGCTTAAACTCATGCCTGCCCACAGACACCAGGGGGAAACAGGA